TTGCTGTGTGCTTTCCTGGCTCTTTGCATTCAAACATTGTCTGCTCTGTGTGTGTTCCTGTGCTCAGGAGAACGCCCGTTCCAGTGCAGCCAGTGCGGAGCCTCTTTCACCCAGAAGGGCAACCTGCTGCGCCACATCAAGCTCCACTCCGGAGAGAAGCCCTTCAAGTGTCACCTGTGCAGCTACGCCTGCCGCAGGAGGGATGCCCTCACCGGCCATCTGCGCACCCACTCGGGTGAGCACCCGGCTCGAAAACCTCTGCGCTCGGTCTGATTCTAGGAAAAGCTGGGTGGAAGTCTTTACAAAACGCGCAACCACTTCTGCAGCGCGCGCGGCGAGACCTCAGTGCGATGGAAGGGGAAGTTGACAGCGTATTGATATGGTGTCACTTTTTTTCTCTCTCTCTCTCTGTCTCTCTCTTTTGCAAATGCTTTGCAGAAGTAGGTGTTTATGAAATTTGGGTTTAAACAGGAGGCCCGCTCTCAGTAGTTCTTAGAACAGAGAGGGATTAACCTGCACCATTGCAGTCATGCGCCAGCTTTAAATTTTGCATGGCCAACTGCATGACTGAAAAGAAAGTGTGTCGGTATCTACTAAATGGATCATCCAGCTGGAGTGTGTGTCGCGTGTCACCACAGGCATAGACTTCTGAGATGATGTAAAACTAAGCTTGGGCTGAGCTTAATCTACCATATGGGATGCGATTTGTTTATGAGATTATACAGAAACAATTTACCTACACTGATGCCAATAAGCCTTATTATCTAAATAGAAAAAATATATGTTGGTTCAAAGATGATTAAAGAAAATCAATTATGATTTCCCATTGGAACCTTTCCGCTGTCCGTGTTGGTGAAATTACCCTTCGGCTCCAGAAGAAGTTCATAAAGGAGAATCAAAACTTGTTTTTCTGTTTCGTTGGAAAAGTACATCATCCCCTCTGTCTTTCTTTCTACAAAAGAAAAATAAACAAGAAAAAAATCTAGAAAAATCCCTAAATCTCCAAGAGAAAAGAAAGTAAAATGTACATTCCCTCAGAGTTCTTTTTTAAGTTCCCACAAAATTCAAAGTTCATGACTTCAGCAGTATCTTAAGAATAAAGCAAAAGTCCGGAGCTGCTTTTCATGACTTTACCATATGCTGGAAAAAGGGGAAATAGGTCCAGTAGTTTTTTGGAATATATAAGAAAAAATTCCTTTAACTCTTTTAAAACTGAAAGTTAACATTTGGTATCACTGATATTATTCCTCACGAAACCTAAACTATCTTGCGTAAGTTTTTGTGTCGTAGCTTTAACAAATGTGCAGGAATACCTATCCAGGTTTCTTAAAAGACATTTCAAAACTCTTCATTGTTTGTTGGCTAGCTTTCTGTCCTTTGGTAATGTTGAGGTGAGGGCTTTGGGGCGGCTTTGGGGGAACTTTTCTCCCCTTCCTTAATATTAACGTCATGACAGCCGCCATATCTAACGAGGCTTCATTGTGCAGTAAATGGATCAACTGAGGGCCAGACGCCTCTGTCGGTTCCTTTGTCAGGTCTCTGGGAACCACCTAGTTGATACAAAAATTCTATGTATGTGTAGTAGTGTGACTGGTATTTCTTATGTATGCATCAATAAAAATGGCAACGAATTGTTTGTATGTTTTTGACAGGCAGTTAATACTAGATGTAAATCAGAACACTTTTTTAAACATCCAGAAAAAAAACTTTTTTTTTTTCCAATGACTCAGGTCCCAGTTGATGCTTTTGTGGTCTACTTTACTGATGCAAACAACAACACAGCCAGAATAACCACATAATCAAACCTCTACTTGTGTCCGATCACAAATGCCACCAGTCGTTGCCTGACTGTGAATTCTTGCGTAAAGTATCCTTTTGCTGACGAAATGTCCCCCGTTCTTCGCAGTGGGAAAACCTCACAAGTGCGCGTACTGTGGCCGGAGTTATAAGCAGCGGAGCTCTCTTGAGGAGCACAAGGAGCGGTGTCACAACTACCTCCAGTGCATGGGACTGCAAAACAGCATCTACACAGGTTGGTGCCACACGGAACTCCAGACAGTAGGAGCGTATAATAAAACGACATTTAAAATGCATGTTATGACAAACTTAATCATAAGAAACCGAGCCTCTCTACGCTGGACTAACAAGAACAGATAACACAAATAAAATCTGATCACAGTGCATGAATACCCTCGACTTCACTGAAATGGGCCTAGGTGAACTGCACATGCTCCAAAGATCCTCAATTGCTAAAATAGTTATGTTTTATCATAGCTCATAAGTTTACAACTGTAATATTGCCTGATCAAATCACCCTTTAGGTAATGTAAAGGCAACACCTGTGCAGTCGTTCACACGCTTTAGTGGATAGCCCAGCTCTGCTTCCACGCATGTGAACTGTTACAGTGGGTCTAATTCAGTGACCCCTTCCTGCTGTAACTGTGGGTCATCTCAATGGTGCACGTGACTGTGCTGCAGCTTCTGCTAAATGCACCATCAAGATGAGTTCACTCACTGTCATTTTCATTTGGATGCAGGCTCACATAGGAGTTTAGTAGGTGTCCAAAGCAAAACGAAGTTAAGTCGCCCATGTGGTCCTAAATTGAAAATACACTAAGTGCAGGAATTTGTTCAACTTCGCATGAAGTCTTTAGAACACAATTATCATCCTACTGAGAGCATGAAAATGATTGTGCCCAAATCACACAAAAGCTTCATGCGTCAGAGCAAATCACAGCAAATGTCATCTCAAAGCCCCTCAGCACCTCCCAGTGCTTTGGCATGTGTTAGCAGGTGAAAGCTCACCCCTTAAAATCACTCTGACGCTAAAATCTACCTCTCTGTCTTGCTTTCCAGTAGTAAAGGAAGAAAGCAACCAGAATGAGCAGAGGGAAGACTTAAGCCAAACGGGATCTGACAGAGCCTTGGTGCTAGACAGACTAGCTAATAATGTAGCTAAGCGTAAGAGCACTATGCCACAGAAGTTTGTGGGTAAGGGCTGAAATCTGCTTCCTTTGTGTGAATAAACTGTTGCTGCTGAGAAATGACTGTGTCGCCGTGCATGCAGCACAGCCTGATCTGAGGCTGTGCCTTACATTTGTTTGATCATTATTATACTGACAGGCAGAAGGAAATGCTAGAAACTGTGTATAAAAAGCAGAAAGGGACCATGAAATCCCATTAATGATAACAGTCATTTGTTTTTATTCAGTTGGCTACAGTAAAGTATGACTTCACAGAGTCCTCTGCTTCTCTTTTCCCCCCTCAGGAGACAAGCGTCTGTCAGATCTCTCTTACGATGGAGGAGCAGGTGAGCTGATTCAGCCTCACGTCATCGACCAGGCCATCAACAGTGCCATCAGCTACCTGGGGGCCGAGTCGCTCCGACCCCTGGTCCAGACCTCGCCGGCCTCGTCCTCGGACGTGGCGCTCAGTTCCCTCTACCCCCTGCACAAGCCGGCGCCGGACGGCCACCCGGGGGCGGGCCTGTCCGCCAAAGACAGCGCGGCCGAGAACCTGCTGCTCCTCTCCAACTCCAAGTCGGCGTCCAGCGAGAAGGACGGCTCGCCCAGCCCCAGCGGCCAGGACTCCACGGACACCGAGAGCAACAACGAGGACCGCCCGGGCGGCGCGGCGTCCGGCCTCATCTACCTGACCAACCACATCACCTCGGGGATGAGGAACGGCGTGCTGCCGCTGGTGAAGGAGGAACAGCAGAGGCAGTACGAGGCCATCCGCGCCAGCATAGAGATGGCCTCCGAGGGCTTCAAGGTGGTGACGGCCGACGGGGAGCAGGTGAAGGCCTACCGGTGCGAACACTGCCGGGTGCTCTTCCTGGACCACGTCATGTACACCATCCACATGGGCTGCCACGGCTTCAGAGACCCCTTCGAGTGCAACCTGTGCGGCCACAGGAGCCAGGATCGATACGAGTTCTCCTCCCACATCACCCGAGGGGAGCATCGTTACTGAGCCTCTTCGATCAAAGAACACACACATACTACACCCACACACACACACACACTCACGCAGACAAACACGTCAGACATTCATCTGTAACAATTGCATAGTAATCCATCGTGTAAAATACACACTCTGTCTGTACTTTGTGTTTTTATACAATGTATGCATGTTTGTTGAACACAGGTAAAATGATACAACTATTGAAAAAACATTCATTTAATTTTCTATGAAGTGTTGTATGAGTAAAAAAAAAAGTTAACCTTTCTGGGTTCTAAATGGCAAATTTAACTGCTGAAAAATATGTTGTGCATATGTTTCCTTTTTGGACGGACGAGAGTTGTCGTTTTTTTTCTAAATTTAAATAAAGTAATTCTGCAAATGTTTTCAGTGCAGGCAAACCCATTGTAACACATGTATAAAATCTAGTCTGTGAAATCGGAACAATCAGTGTAGATAAAACCACAGCTCTTTACAAAGATTTAACCTGTTATCTTTGTGTTTGTAATAACCTACATATTATTTATAGAACATTTACACGCCTGTCTCTTTTTGTATTTATTACAGTGTTCGATGTTTGTCTCGTAGGGTAGTTAAAGTCGCATCCTTTTCTGTTCAGCTTTCCAATTTATGTGTGGGGGAATCCGTTATTGCTGCTGGACGTTGGTTTTAGTTTTATTGAAAGAAATGTTATCCAGGGCTTTTTTATTTTATTCATGGTATCTAAGAATGGTGGTAAGGCCACAAAGGAAATGAAGTTAACTTCATATGAAATGAGCTTTATGCTTGCAAATTATAAATAAAGGATATTTTATGTATGCACAGTAGGATGGGTCCATTTTTAAAATAATGACAGTAAAAAGAAGACAAACAGAATTTGATTTATTTGCACCTGTGGCAATTTAGAGTGATTCAGATTTATTCAGCACGTACCTGAAGATTTTACAGTTGATGTGTGTGTTTTTAAGACTTGACATATGAAATGGAAATGTCCAAATTGAAGTGTTTAAAAGCTGAAAGTAAATGTGTTAGGGTTGATAAAAAGATTTTACTCAAACTTTCTGAAATAATTACTCCCACATGTCATTCAAAATACCGCTCAGTCCGAGCTGTCAAGTAAGATCCAGGTGAGATGTAATGACTGACATCTATGCAAAATAATATAAAAAAATAAATTAAAAAAATCCTGAACTCACATTTGGACAGAAAAACAAAAGAAAAAACTATTAAAATTTAGCATGAAAACAAACAAGTAAAGTCAACACAGACCTCATTAATAGAGTATCAGTCAAAGTTTGAAAATGGAAACACATTTAAAATGAATTGCAATCAAAGCACAAAAAAGATTTGTGGAAGGCAAATGTAAAAAAGAAAAGTTCATAAATAAGTAAAAGTAACACTACTCTGGAGCAGATGAATGGGAGAGTGGTAAGGGTGCCAGGACTGGGTATAAAAGAAGTATCCAACAGAGTTTTATTCATTCCAGTAAGACATTTTTTTTTTTTCAAACCACTTTGTGCCAAAGTAAAATAAGATATAGAAATACATGTTTTCCTCTCACGTAACTCGATGAAAGCAAACGTAACAAACATTGATAACTGTTTCACACATTTCACTTACAATCTTCAATGCCACCACATGAGCAAAGCTCAGCAGGAACTTGCAAACCATGGTCCCTCTCCGAGCACATGTTCATCTCAGGTGATTCACCTGGAAAGAAAGAGTGGATATTTATGTATTTCAGCTGTTTTTTTAGGGGTAAAGTGTTGGCTGACTTGCACATCTGTGATACAACGGTGTACACTGACATCAAGATGACCCTGATTATTTCAGGGTTTCAATTGTGATTCAAACAGTGGCGCAATAGACGGCGTGTCCACAAATTCCATTATAAAGTGCGAAAGTATTTGTCCTTAATTTGCAAACTTTTAAAAGGTATACTTAGGAGAAGGATGATTGAACACAAAAAATTATTATGCCATGTTTTTTCTGTTGTATTTCAGGCTTTATGTTACACGTGCACCAACATTGTGAATTGGAGTCCCAGGATGCAATTTCTTTGGAATTGTGTCACAAAAAAAAAGACAATTTACAGGTGTAAGGTTTTATTACAACTTGGAAAATGATTGAACTTTTCTCAAAGTGCAGTTTATACAGATCGTTTATGCAGATGTTTACAATTTCATTTATGCATTTTGCAAACCCTTTTATCTGAAATGACTTACAAGGATACGAAAGAATGAACACATTTTTAAATAGTCATTTACAATAAACATTTCAAGAATCTGCCAGGGACGGAAAGCAGATTTTCAGAGGAGAAGATATTGATAAGTATTTTTCGTGATAAGTTTGTTATGCGAGGAGACCCTCTTGTAAAAAAGCTATTTAAAAAAAAAAAAATTCTTTAAGGAGGAACAAAGGAGCTGAAGGGTTTACCCGACAATGCAAATATCTGCACAGGCACTCTTGCAATGAGGAGAGTGCTGCCAGTAGAAGCAACACACACACACACACGCACACGCACACACACACACACACACACACACACACA